TTGTTAATTTTATGGGATTACAAGAGTTTCAAATTATAGCCTTAAATTATTTTAGGAGTGTAATTAATTATATTCGTTAATTTAATATTCCACTGTTTAAATTTAATTCATACATGTCAGCGTCAATGTGTTAAAGTGGTAGGAAGGGTGAATTGGTTATTTCGACAATATATACAAAAAATGGTTATACCAGTAATGTATTCTATTTTACAAATTTATTATTAATTTGAGATTAATTAATTATTTATTTAAGAGGAATTTAATTTACAAATTTATTTATATAATTTATAGATTTCCAGATATATATTTTAAATTTTATGATAGTTTAGGTTGTCTGATTTTATAGTATTTTTAATATATATTTTCTTTAGCTAACTTATTTTAATTGTTATATTATTTTTTAAATATATTTTTTTGAGATGATTCATTTTAATGAGTATATTATATTTTAAATATATTCTTTTGAGATTTATTTTGATGTGAGCTAAATGTCAAAGAATAGTTTAAAATTTTTAATCCAAAATATTTCTTCCTTTAATATATTATTGGTAATTCTTTTGGATATATATCCAACTTCTTCAACAGCTGCTTTCAGAGCTTCTCGCATAGTTGTATTTGCTTTTACATTATTGATGATGAACATCTTGTTTCCATTATTACATAATGTAATTAAAATTAGCATAGTAATTTTCTCAAACCGTGATTTAACCAATGACATATAATAATACCTAGACTGACAATTCATCCATTAAAAGTGTACATCAATACAAATCAGCTAGAGACGCCATCTTGGTTACTGTAATAAATATTAAAATTTTAAACGAGAGCCTAATTTTATATTATATCTGATGCAAACTTTATTAAAGAATTGCCTGATCATCGAGATAATAAGAAAGTAAGTTATCAATTTAATATTAGTTTTTAACATGAAAATAATTATTATAAAGGTTACCAAAATGGCGGGTCCAGCTGATTTGCTTTTAACGAAGCTTAAAAATGCATTTTAATGAATGAATCGTCAGTCTAGGTATTATTATATGTCATTGGATTTAACAAACTTATTATATTTAATTATATATTGAGATCCAATAAAATTAATAATGAGAAAAATTCTTTTATTTTTATATTCTAAAATGAAATTCTTTCATTTTAATATGAAAAAAAAAATTATAATTAATTATAAGCTTTGATGATACAAATATATTTTAAAATATATTGTAACCTAATTAGATTGATAAAAATACTTAAAATACAATATTAATTAATTAAATTAATATATTCATTCATCAATAATATTTTAGAGTATTTGACGGTATTTAACAAGGTCATTTACCTGTCAACCGTGCTTTATACTAATAAGTGATTATTTTATAGTTATTCTTAATTATATTGAAATAAATTCTCATATGAGTTTACATCGTGAGTGTTATGGCTATTACTAAAAATTAACCAGCATCATTTATTTGTTTGGCAAATAAAATTTAAGAATATTACTACTGGTATTGAGGGAATTTCATTGCATAATTTATATGAGCAATAATGACCAACTGTCACATCGTTTATATAGTATTAAAAATGGAAGATTATCTTTTAGAAATTTAATATCTCATAATTATTTTTTCGCTTACTTATCTAGCTTCCATAATGATATGATATCTAAGAGGAAGCTCTAACTAATCACCATATTATGATTTTGAATAGTTATTTATATGCTCTTCTTCATAATTATTGATTATGTTAGGTCTACAAATTTTTCCTTATTAGTTCATTCTATAAAACATTGTCTAAAATAATAACTCAAGGTTATGTTGATTTCATGATTTTTCAAAAGTTATTGCCTTGTATGGTTTTTAAAAACCATTATCAATTAAGGCAGTGATGAATTAATTAGCCATTTTTATCACTTGTAATTCTTTAGACGCAAATTTTTTTTATACCAGCCATAGGCGTAGCCAGGATTTTTATAAAGGGGGGGGGGGGAATTAAATATATAAAATAAAAATATAATAAATTACTTATATAAAAGCATGGTAATAATTTATTCCAAACAATTATAAGAAATTTATTTATAAAAAGTAAGTAGACATATAGTTGATTTTACTCTATTATATAGAATTAGTTATAAAATACTAGGTAAAATTCCACTTTTACAGACATATTTGAGTTAGAGAATATATTACAGTTAATAATTTAACAAATTTTACTAATCAATGCTCTTGATATTAAATATAGCAACAATTTGCATTCAATTATTTAACGCATCTATTTAATTTAAATAAAAATGATATTTAAATATCTTCATATTATTCATCCCACAATGTCTTTAAAAGATATTTTCTGATGTCCTTATCAATATTTTATAGTTTTCTGTAAAATATATAATTCACTATATTGGTAAAAAATTACTTGATTGTCATTTGATAATTAGATATACTGTAAATCTACGACATATAATATTCCACTGTTTGTATTGTGCTTTAATATTTTTTTAATTTATGATTTAATTTTATCAATAGTTTTATCATTATATTTTACTTTTATTAAGATAAATAAATTAAAATTACTTGCTTTATAAAAAATTATATTTGATATATTATATTATTTAGTAATTTTATGGATCTATTATTAATAATTATAATATATTTCACTTCTGTCTTAAGACTTATCTTTGGCTTATATTCCATTTATTAAAAAACATTTTTGGTTCATTTTATATATTTATAAATTTATTTTCCCAAAAATCTATAAATTATGATGAATAGTATAAAAAAATATCAACTTTTGCATTCTTTCTTTTAAATTATTATTTAAGATATATGCATACATATTTGAGGGTCAGGGAGTGTGGGGAGGACTAAGGGGGATATTTTTTATTAGCTAAAAATGATATTTACAAAAAGTGATAAATTTCTGAAAGGGGTTTCCCCTTGCCCCCCCCCCTCCTCCGGCTACGCCTATGATATCAGCCATCGAAAATATTTAATATTATAATAAATGGATAAATATTTTACATTAAAAATATTATATTTAGAAATGTATTGTTTTACATTCATTATTTGTATATACATTATAAATGATGAAATATGAAATTAGAGATTGCAAATTTCAATTAAAAAAGTATAATATATACAAAATTCGACCGAATGTCGAGGAAAAGCGGGTCGAGGGCCTCCAAAATAAGGGGTATAAGGGGTTTCGCCTCCGTAGAATTTTTTTTAGTTGAGCCTCCTGAAATTGTAAAGGCTAGTGACGCCCCTATTATAAACTATATCCTTTTAATCAAAATAAAGATCAAAAAATATAATTCATTATTTTATAATTTTTATAATTCATTTTATTTATTTTATTATACTATTTAATATCCATGATATTACAGGATATAGAACAGTTTATTTGAATTTAGATATTTAAATTTAATATATTCAGAATCTATATAACAAAAAAGATGATAGAGTTACCCCCTGCCCAATTTTCCCTCTTATTATTCATTATATTATAGTAACCCCATGATAAAATCTTATAATGAACTATTATTTGTAACCTCCCAACAAAACCTTTTCAAAACTATACCAGGCACGATAATTTATTTTAAAAAACGGCTAATTCAATATTTCACCCAGAAAAATATTACGCGAGCCTCAAGATTTTATTTGTAGAAGGATCAAAGGTCTAAACCTATATTATCAAAATCTCGAGGTTTATGAAATATTATTCTAACTAAAATTTTGCTTTAGCCGTTTTTAAAAATTGGTTCAAATAGAGCCGTTTATCAACACTATAATTTAGGCTAGGGGTGACAAATAAACAGTATTTACTGATAATCATCTAGTTGTTACTAACCATATTCTAAATATTATCCATAAACGTTAAACTATACCAAAGGTATTTTAAATAAATAACTTAAAATTTTATTAACCATTAAAATCAAAATAAATATACATTGTGGCAAATGTACCCACTACCCCTTGCATGTGGACACACTTAATATATTGCTATATCTGGACTTTAAAAGGTATAAAAACAAGTTTTCTATGAATAATACAATATTTAAATCTATAAGAAAAAATATGTCATTATATATTACCTCAATTCCTCTCTCTTTTGTTTAAATTTAACCAACTGTTAAACTTAAGAGTTATTTCTTATTTACTCTTCTAGACACAAACGACATTCATTAATTTAATTTTATATGTCCTCTTGTTGTATATCCATAGTGGTGTAAACATTTCTAAAAAGATCGAACGCGTTGGCGTTCAACGTTCATTGACAAAAACCGAACACGTTCACGTTCAAGTTCATGTCAAAGGAACGCGTTCACATTCATAAACCGTTCAAAATTTTATGATAAATTATTTTTAAATTTAATTTAATATAAATAAACTTATATTTTTTAATACAATATATTTTAGCCATGTTAAAAAATAATTATTTTGATAATATAATTATAAATAAAATATAATATAGCGAATAAAAAGATATTTTTATTTATAAAAAATTTTTCTTATTAAATTTTAATAACAATTGTTTTCAAAATATTTATCTGATAAACAAGAACACTTGGCAGTTAATACGGCATTAGCCTAAAAACGCGCTCTACATGGGCAGATAAGGGGATTGTGGTATTATACTTAATAAACACCTCTTTTACCGTGCAGAATTAATTAAAAACATATTGTATTGTTATTTGCAAAAAATTGAGATAAGTTATCCTCCTCCAATCCATTCTCTACTCTCGACAAAAAAAAAGGATATCTCGAAATTAACAGTTCTTTAGGGTTTTCAAAGCATTTTTTTCAATAACGCTATAAGTTTATTTTAATAGGTTCGTTCTGTGGAAGTTTTATCTATGGCCATTGATGTTTGGATGCTGGATGTATAATTGCAGAAAGAACATATTGATCTTTATATATATGTTCAAATCTTTGAAAAAATAAAATATATGTAATTAATTGAGAATGAGAGGTTTAATATCTTTTATTAATCCCATTTAACACGGCGTCTATCAATGGTTGACCATATTTGAGGCCACTAATTTTTTTAATTTTAAAATAACTATCGTTATTGTTTGGGTCAAATATCCCAAATGCATTATTTCTTCAAATTTAATGATTTAACTTAGTTATATCATATAAAATTAAATAATTAATATTAAAATCAAATGTCGTTTTAAATTGGAACCTTAAGATTTTGACAATATAATACTTTTTGGCCACATTTTACACTTGATTAGCATTGGGTTAGTTCCTTCAATATAGGATGTTAATGTAAAACATTTATCATATTTGGCCATAGTAATGATAATTCATCTGATTTTGGATTTTAAGAATCAGATTATGAGGATTAAATAATAATATACATGCTTATGTAGTGTTGTTAAACGGCTCGTTTTTCAATATTTTATCCAGAGGAATACTACGCAAGCCCGAAGATTTTGCTCATAGAAGGAACAAAGGTTTGGTAATATATTAACGAAATCTCGAGGTTTAGACAATATTTTTCTGGCTAAAATATTGAGTTAGCCTTTTTAAAAATCGGTTCAAAACGAGCCGTTTAACAATATTACATGCTAATCTATTAAATTAAAATATACACAATAAAATTCAAATTAATAAACTATGTGTTAAAAAAAATGAAATGTGAAAAGGAAATACACAGCCGATTAAAAAATATAAATAATACATTTTAAAAAAATTCGGAAATTTTTCTAATTAATAAAAAAAAATTTTTAAATTGAACGAACGTTAAATTCGAACGCGTTCGTCATAAAAAAAGGAAGGCGTTCACGTTCAAAGTTCGTCAAAAATAAAAGGAACGCCGTTCACCAGAACGCGTTTATTCTGAAGCCGTTCGTTTACAACACTATATATCCATGATGAGGAGCATATAAGAAGATCAGCATGAAAATGACTAGTGCAGAATTGGCTTCCTTTACTATATTTTCAGATATAAATATGAACTGGTTGCCTATCTATTATTCTTTAAAGTATCTCTTTAAATATTTTCCCTATTTTTTTGATTAATGTTTAAAAGTCAATACAAATTTGATACGTTCAAAGTATTATCCAAATAATATGGCGCAAGATAAATATTTCAAAAACGAAGTATATTATAACAATTAATTACAGCCTATTCATAGCCATTAAGTTTTTAAGATGTATTATATCCTTAAAAGGATATCAGAGAGCTTAACTGTCAAACTAAGGATGAGCAATTTTGTTGCTACATGCATTCCAATTTTTTTTACTATGAGGTGAATTAATAATTTTTGTCAAATAACTATGGAAAATGATACACAATAAAATGTTATATGGTTAGACTTGTGAGAAATTATATTGAAATCGAGGGGGGGGGGGGGGGTGTAAATTAAAGATGCTATATACGTAGAACAAATTTGGTATTTAGATTTGATTGCCTTTTTTACTAATATTAATTTTCATGTTTTTTTGGTCAGTAGTATTGTCTGGATATTCAGACAATACTACTGACCAAAAAAACCAAAAAAGCCTGTAAAATAAAGCCTATGTTAAACCTTTAAGCTTTTCAAATTTTGAGTAAAAAAAAGAATTTAATAAATTTTTTGATATAGTTATACCTATTAAAATGATCATAAATTGTTCATATTCACTCTTTAACAAGTAATGAAAATGATTTAAAAAATGTTTTAATTTAAAATTTAAAATTTACTAACACATGATTTATCACAATCAATCCCATTTTACAAATTTTATGCAGCCGAACTTTTTCAGCCATATTAATCGAACTAGAATATTAAAAAATTTCTATTTGGTAAATATTTAAAAAAAAACTATATTTATATTTCATATAATAGTTTGTATATGCGAATTGATTTTATATAGGAATATTTTTTTATAAAATGACATTATCAAAAGTGACCAGCTGATTTCGAAATTTTAGCAGACGGATAGTTATGGATTTTATAGTCACCAATATTGATGAGAAGGGTGGTAAATAATAAGTTACATATTTGATAAATATTTTAAAATAATAGATGATTCTGGAAAAACATCATCATTATTAGGAATATTAGCTGATATTGCGACAGAACGACTTGAGAATGAAAATGGCAAAAAGATTGTAAGAAAATTTACTCTAAATTTGATTTATAAAATTTTATAAGAATATTACACAATTAATTCAAGACAAAATAGTTAGAACAAATGATAAAAGGTAATTAAATAGTTGTATAAATATATTTATATAAATGAATAGTGTAAATTTACAAGATTATGAAGATTTAGAAAATAAACTTAAAAATCATTTGCTACAACATTTATTTGGGATAGAAGCAAATAAATTAACAATAGGTATTTTTATTATTTAAAATTTGTTTTTTTAAGAAAAACTTAAGCAAAAAAAATGTTACAAGTTTTATCTAGTGACATGTCACCCTCAAACTCTAATGAACAGGCTCAAAGTAATTATGAATATGAGAAATTATATCTCAAAGAGGTCAATACAGAGAACCAATTATGTCAAACAAATATAAATAGCAATCTTGATAATATAGTTATACCTAAACTTACAGATCACCCTTTTGATGAAAACAACAAAATTGGAACTTCCCCTATTATAACACCTAATACAAGTCCTTTAAAAAATTCACAATTTTTTATCGAACCATTTTCCTCACTTACCAGTTCATCAACCCTGAATATTAAGGAGTGTGAAAAAAGCTTAAATTTGGGTGCTCATTGCTTAGATGTTATACCAAATATATATGATAGATTTAGTCCTTCAGGTAACACTTATATATCTGCCAGTACCTCCAAGAATATTTTGAGTATTAACACATCTAACTATATGACACTTGATTTAACCCAAAATTGTCAGAATACATTGAAATCTACTCAATCACAAAAGCAATGTTTAATCAACAAAAATGACTTTTGTTGGGTGGACAGGCCCTCTAATGTTGAAGGCAAATTTTCTTCCAAAAATTCATTTATACATATTGACCCTGGTAGAAAACCTAGATTGAATATGGGTTTTAAGTCACCAATTCATCAATATTTAGATCTGAAAACATCTGAAAATTGTGACATTAGTCATTCGGCACAACTTAATGTTGGGAAAATAGTTCCACATTTTGATGGGGAAAACTCAAGTGATTTGCATCAAAACATGATGGCAGGCTTTGAAAGTCAAAAAATTAATAAAGATAGTTTGAAACTAAAGCCACATGAGAAAGGGCCTATAATCAAATATTCTCCCTTAAAAAATGTTCAAATTGACAAGTCATTAACTTATTTTTCTGCCAATACTAACTTCCGAGATAAGGGAGCAACTCATGATCATAATTATCATTATTCTGATATATGTTCTAACAAGAACTTTAACATTAATAAAAGTAATGATAATTTGAGTAGTGAAAAGTTTGTTCCCTCTCCCAAATCTAATCTCAATATGGTAGAAAACAATTTATCAAATATTCAAAATGAAGATGAGTCTATGACAAATCTTGATCCTGTTACAAATATTCCTAATGGTAAAAAATTTTTTGTAAAGAAAATTATTTAAAATTGAAAATAAATTACATTTTTCAAATATAAGCAACATTTATATATAAAAATTTGCTTAGGCCACTTCCAAACACAACATTTTTTTAGAACTTTTTCCAAGGCATGTTATTACAATATTTTTTATTTCCAACCAAGCAACAATTTATATTATTTAGTATAAAAATAAATCTTATAACAATATATTTTATTTTGAGACATTACAAAACAAAAGTAAGTATAATCTATAAAGAAAGAAAGGGGTCTGTATATGATCTATATCCACTTAAATGATTCCCAATTCTTTCACTATCTTGGACTATTGAGGAATGTTTTCTATTACATACTTCAAAATTAAAAATAAAATTATGCACATACAAACAAATGCAAAAACAACAATATCTCCTGAAAAGAGACTATTTGTTACATTAGGGTGATATATTTAGTTATTAATATATAAACCATTTAAGATATGAACAGGCCTTAATTACTCTTAACTATCCTAAAGCAAAAGTTGCATTGCTACATCCCTCAAATTCTTCCATTTTAATTTGCATACATGTGAATGAATTAAGCCTGTTAAATAATTAATAATTTATATAGGATAAAGATAAATTTATTTAAATAAAGATTTAAAAGAAATATTAATTATTTTATATATTATAAATAATTAAAATTCATATTCCATATTAATGCTTACTAATAAATAATATTTAATTAAAAAGTCTATTGATTAAAAATTCTTATTAAGTAGTCAACATTAGGTGATTCAACATAAAGTCTTGTTCTACTTTAGCACATAATGTCCATAGTTCATCAACTAATAATCTATTAGAATAATTATCATTACATTGGTTCCATAAATCGTCATTAGCTTCTACAAAATTTATCAAATCAGATGCAAAATTTTTCCTAAAATCATTTCATTTATTGAATATTATTATAAAAATAATTATTTGCTCATTTCCATCGTATCAGACGCCATTTAATCGTTTAAAAAATCAAGCTAGTTTGTTATTAAAATAAATGTAAAATCATATGCATTAAAAAAATGTTTGTTTAGAAGCACACAACTATTAAGTTGAATGAAAAAATGTCGTGTTTGGAACTGACCTTAGATGGAAGTTTTCATTTTCTTAAATAGTTTGAATCTAAAAATAAAAAATTTCAAGCTTTTTACCCTATGCCTCAAAGCTGATTTTATTTTTTACTTTTGTAAAGTTATAGTAAAGTCAACCAGACAAGTTCTCCTCCCCCCCCCCAAAAAAAAAAACAAAAATTTTCTTTAAGTTTTGGCTCCATTTAGATCGACAAATTGTATCTGACTACGTCTGTCAAATCAGTCTGGTCACAGTGTGAATTGGTTCTGCCAATACCAACTAAACATTTGCCCTATATTAATAATGTGAATTATTGAAAAAGGCAAATATATTATCATTTTTAAAATTTATTAATCATATTTAAAATATTTTATAAATTTAATTAAAAGTAAAAAAAGGTAGAATAAAAAATATTAACAGCACTACAGGGACTTTTACTTAATGTTGTTAAACGGCTCCATTTGAGCCGATTTTTAAAAACGGCTACCTCATTATCGTAAGCCTGAAGATTTTGATCATAGATGATGGTACAAAGGTTTGGACATCTATTAGCAAAATCTCAAGGCTTTGGCAATATTTTTCTGGCGAAAATCTTGAGTTAGCCGTTTTTAAAAATCAGCTCAAATCGAGCAATTTAACATTACTCCTCAACCCTCGAAAATTTTACCCTACCTACCCTCCTCTTAAATTTACCCTTCCCCCAAATCAAAACTAACCTTGCCAATTTTATTCAAATGACGATAGCTTCTTCATGACTACCTACCCCCTATTTCAATCATGATTATGTCATACACCACCATTCCAAAATCCGATATTGATACCCAATACCGCAAGTTTCGGTTAGGGACCCGAACCATTATGTATAAAAAAACCAGTTATGAGAGGAAAAAATTATAAAGGTTGGTTAGGGTTTTAAAAAAATTATAACGGTTTTTTTGTTTTCTAATATTTATTTATATTTAAAATAAAAAAACAGAAAGAAACACAAAAACATAAATGATTTTATTAAGATAGATGCATAATGATTTATATTTTTGAATAAAATATATTTGACAAAAATATTAGTTAGCGTAAAAATTTGAGAAAATTAACATTATAAAATTAATTAAAAACTTCCCGAGGAAAAGTAAAAGGTAAGTTATCAAATATTATTATTTAAGTTATTATCTATATATAAAACAAAAATGTTAAACCGGTTCAAAAAAATTATAATTAGGTTTGTTTCGCTATAATGGTTCGGTTAACCCCGGGTCCCTGGCTTCGATACATCTCGCTAAATATGTAAATAATTTTTAAAATTATAATCAAGCTACAATAATGTAATATTGCTTGAAAAGTTGCTCACTGTCGGTAAAATATTTTTTTTTCCTTAGTGTATATGTATAAAAGTAAAATAAAGAATAACTTTCTCCTTAAAAATAATAATTATCAATTTATAATGGCTAGTTGTCATTGCTAAAGTTTTATTAATTTTAACCATAATATATTAATAGTAGAAAACCATGTTTCATAGATTTATTAACTATCGGATTTTAAATGGACAAGTGAATTTAGAGCTACATTTTACTCTAATCCGTGATGAAAATTGATAATAATGTTAAGAAATCCCTTATTCGAACCTACTTCATAATGGTCAGCTGATGTTTTAGCGCATTTATCAAGTTTAAACCTAAATTGGCTTTCGCACATGAGCTGGTTTCAAGCTCAACCTCTAGGTTTAAGCTGAATTAGTCGGCCTAATTAATTGATAGGAGTTAATTTGCAAGGTTTTAAAAAAAAATTTATATTGTTCGCAAGCCCAACTACTATATAATTTTTTTATATAAATTAATTTTGAAACCGAGAATGTGATTTATTTTGTTAAAATAATTTATTCAAAAAAAATTATTTATAAATCAATTCTTTATATTAAAAAAACCAATTAATTATCATATTATAAGATTTTTTTTGCGTGTTATGATATGATTGATATAATATTTAAAATTTTATTCTTTATTCCCTGGTTCGCATAAAAATATAGTTAATAAATAATTAAATTTCTAATTCATTTTTTTACGTAAATATAAATATATAATATGAATTTTAAAAAAAATGTTACAAACTTGTATTTTCTCAAGTTTATAAATATCAAGGCTGTATTTTATCACGCATTTCCGTTAAATATAACTATCATAATTTGTTTTCAAATTTAGAGCAGTATTGATTTCCACTAGAGGCTTGCAAATGGCAAAGTTTTAGGCCCGGCCCGTTTGGAATTTAGTTTTTTTCCGGGCCCGTTTCCAGTTTTTTACTAGAGTTGGGTCCAGGCTTAAAATACAAGGCCTAATCCCACGAAATTAAACACCAACATAAACAACCATTTATAATATTGGGGAGCGGCTTAATTAAAAACACCAAACTTTATGGATTGTCATTTCTATCAAATATCAGAATTCAGCAATAATCTAATCCAATTTTGCCCGGCCCGTTATTTTTTTTGCACGGCCCGGCTCAGATAAATTTTCTTCAGAAGTTATTCAGGGCGCTGGACATTGCAGACCTCTAATTTCCACCTTTACTTAAACTTCTAAACCTCATATAAGGCGATTTTTAAAAAAAAATAAAGAAGAATTACTAGTTTTTAAACTTTAATTTTTCAAAAAATATATGATTGATTTAATTTACTTTCTACAATTAATAGCATCATATTATATTTTACAAACTTCTTCCACAGGGATCCAAACCGAAACGAATATCGGTTCGATTCAGGTTCGGATAAAAATAACGGTTCAGGTTCGGTTCGCAAAAAATAAAAATATCGGTTCGGTTCGATTATAAAACCTGTTTGAACGCTTTTGTATTCAAACCTACATTCGAATTATGTATAGAAATTTTTTTTTATTTCATAATTAAAATAAAAAACATATACATAAACCTTCATTTTTATTTATTGCACATTATAAAATAATATTTAATTTATAAATATAACAAAATGATTAATTTTAATATGAACAATTACTTAAAAATTTTTTATTAAGCCTCACAATTAATATATTTTCAAAATTCGTCTCACTCAATTAAATCTATAAGGAGATAATATAAATTTAATTGTTGAAAAACATCTTTCCACCCAAACTTGGGTAGCCGGCACTGCCAGTATTTCAGATTTGATGTGTCGTTTATATATTGGAATTAATTTTTCTCTAAGCATTATAATTTATAAGCTTAAAATATTTAAAAAATGTTGTAAAATGGCAAATACACTAAAGTTTATAAAAATTATGACTGACACTAATCAATCAAATGTGATTGATAATAATCTTTAAAATAATTCGAATATATTTAAAATTTTTGCAATATACTAGTTAACATACACATTTTATAAGCATAAAATTATGAGACTCGAACCGGTTTAAAGGTATTTTAGCGGTTCGGTTCAGGTTCGGCTAGAATTTTTTTTAGCGGGTTAGGTTCGATAAAAAAATACAGGTTTTTAGCGGTTTAATGGTTCGGTTTAGGGTCCCTGTTCTTCCATCTCCCTCCCTATAAGTTCCATCTGTCCTTTAGTAAATAGTATTATTATTGTTTTATATGATGGCGAGTTTTTTGATAGCGTTTTAATACTTTGAATTATGGATGTTATTTAATTTATAGAAACCATATTTTTACTATATAAAGTTCCATGACACACCAACATGAGTTCCAATCCGACCTATATTTTTATAAAATTTTTACTAGAGTTTTCATATATTATAATTGAGAAAAAAAATTTTAAGCCTCCAACTTCAGACAGCGGCTGAGATAGGAGCCTCTAAAGGTCGAAAAATGGGGCATTTTGGGCATAATCCTCTCCCTTTAATTTTGGATATACTTAAGCTAGGCATCATTTAAATTTCTTTATATAGCCTAATGTAGGCCCTTAGTTATTAAATATTGTTTTTAAAAAATCGAAATGGCAAAAACCGGAAATGATTATATAATCAAATTGGCATTTTTTTAATATATAGATATAGAACAGAACTAATTAATAAATATGCAAAATTTCAAGTTGGGTCAGGTTTAGGAGATATACCATTTTTCATTAGTCAATTGTAAAAATTCTTATTAAATATTTGATAAATCACTCACGTTATGAAGGTCTAAGAAATGCACTTCCTTGGATGATTAACCAGAATAAGTTGTTAAATTATCGAGTTCTCCCGACTCCGAGTTGAAGTCACAGTAACTAGACTCAAAACTCGAGTCTAGTTTAGAGTCGATTAGTCGACTCATTTTTACGACTCGAGTTCTGAACTTGAGTCGTGAACTTAATAGGTTAACTTAAATTTTATAAAACTCGATTACTTATATAAGTGCTGTTTATTGGTTGGTTTTATTTTTGTAAAACCCACCGCATATGTAAAAGATAATGGATATAAAAAATACCTTGTTCAAAAGGCCAAACCCATTCCCATGCTTTTATGCCCTTTACAGAAAATTAAATTAAAGTTAAATTATTTTCATAATATGAAAATGATTGTATTTATAATATATATAATTATATTTTCCCTTCAATAAATTATAATCAAAAATTCATATGTATTTTTTTAAAATTATTTTTAAGAGGAGAGTAGTTCAATTCATAAAATAAATTAACCAAAGCCCCCCCCCCCCTCCAACTTCTAGATCATAAATAACTTCATCATATTAAAAATAAAATATTTGATAGCTTTTGACTTATATTACAATTATTGTATAATATCAAATATTTATTAAGAATATTTGCAATACACTAATGATTAAAATAACATATCTCCTAAACTTGAGCTTGGCCCAACTTGAAAATTTGCTTATTTATTAATTAATCCTATATATAAAAAAAATATGTGAGAAAAAAAATGCTGATTTAATTTTATGACCATTTCCTGTTTTTGACATTTCGATTTTTCAAACAATCTTTGACGTTATATAACTCTAAAGGCCTACCATTAGGCTATATAAATAAATTTAAATGAAGCGCTTAATTGTATCTAAAAATATTTATAATTAAAGGGATTGCACTTTGCCCGAAATGCCCCATCTTTTCGACATTTAGAGGCTTATATCTCAGCCGCTGTTTGGAATTGAGGAGGGGAGGGGGTAAAATATTATTTTTTTCTTAGTTATGATTATATATATATACAAACTTTTATAAAAATTTGACGGGGTCGGGTTGAAAATTGTGTCTTTTTTGTTGATTTGTCTATGAGTTCACCATATATATATATACACATATTAATTTAAATTTATATTGTTTCAAAACTTTTATAGACATCTCTCAATCAGCCTCTAAAAATCGCGTATCTCTTTGGTTGAAAGATTGTATTAATCAAGACACCGACTCCATCAAATGCTTTACGAATACTAATCTTACTAATCATAAAGCGAATTCTACTGAAAGGGTCAATATTTCTTACAATAGAAACATTTGGAACTCGTTATATAATATCCTCTTTTTTAAATATATATATATACCTTAATGAAACAGGGGTCTTTCAAATTTTACCTAAAACTTTATTAATTTACCTTTACTTAAAGGCAGCACAGATACCACCTTTTTCCGATGCCAAAGTTTTTAAAAAATAAATTTCGCAACAAAATTTTATAAGTAAAATATTAGGCTTTCATGGAGCCTAATATTTGACTTTTAAGCTGGTCAAAAATATTTGTAGATCAATTATTTATTTTTTAACTCAGAAATTTATGGCTTAAATAGGTCAATTTTAAAAAAATATCTATGAGGGTTAGTTTTTTATTTTGGATATCTGGCACTTGTATTAGTTATAATTTTCACTAAAACAATATTTAAAACATACCGCCATAAAATATAGGCTCTCAGAAAAATTTAAAGATAGGTGATTCATGGCAGAGACCTTCATGGGCCGGCCCGCGGCCCGCCTAATTATTTATTTTCTAGCGGGCCGGGGCCGGGCCTGGGTTTTTTAGAAATTTTTTACTTGGTCCTAAATTTTTTTTTTTCAAATTTAAAATATTTTGAGGATATTTATTTGGACAAATATAACTAATCATTTATTCCATTTCCTAGACACCTTGGGAGAGTTTTAATTTTGTTTTTTCTTTAAAATCGGAAATTGGTATACTTATTCATGACATAACTGATTTAAAGTGTAAGACTATTATAGGTAATTCCTACACTTAATTATATAAAATATGATATTTTTATTTAAAAATCACTTTTTTTCATTCTTATAAAACTGGATCACACTGTTACTTCTTTAGTGTGACAAATCCAATATTAATTAGAAATTAAATATATGGCTATAAAGATGATACTTAAAATGATTAAGGTAAGGATCTTTACAATAATTGAAATAATGATTTTATATCATTTATAAATTCAGTTGGCTCTATGTATTTCCTTTGTGTATTACACTAATGAGATTGAAGGCTAAGAAAGCTGTTAATATGTAACATAACACCCTTTTTTCTGAACTAATTGATTTTTGTGTGTTTTCTTTTATATATGGGTATTATGTAATGATAATGAATGAATAGATTTATTTTGAATGATCAACAGATTTGACCTTTAATATAATAGAACAACTTATATTTAGAATATACAAATTTGATTTTATATCATCATCATATTGCTAAAATTCATTATGAATTTTTTCTGGCCAATTAATTTGCACCAAATAAATCTGCATTCTGTTCAATTTTTTTGATAGTTCTGGCTTCTTTTATTATTTCACTACAACTTTACTTATGACTTTCTCCTCTGTAATAAATTGTAGTATTTTCAATTTTTTTTAGATATAATTAATAAAAATGAAATAGTTAAAAAATTACATTCTCAAGAATATAAATTATTTGAAAACAACTCATTGAAGAGCAAAGTCTGGGATTCTTTTAGTATAATAATAGACAATCATAATAATAAAATTAGATATGTCCAATGTAAAACATGCCAAGACATACTTTCATATTCACAAAAAGTAGGATCATCCTATTTATCAAGGCATAAATGTATACCAAATCTTAAAATTAAATTATCTTTTTATCCAATTAAAAATGATAAAGCAAAATAATGAAATTGTTGATAATATATTATTTTTAAATGATAATTTGAATATATAAATTAACATTTTGTTTATATCATTTATATAAAATATTATATTTCCATTAGTATTACTCTAGCATAAGTATTCATTAAATAATTTAATGGGATTGGGAAATTTTTTTGAAACTTATGGGCTTGGGCCGAGCTTGGGAATTTTTTTAACATTAGATATGGGCCGGGCTTGGGTCTAAAAAAATTTCTACTGCGAGTCCGGGCCGGGCTTGGTCAAAAAATTAAGGCCCATGAAGGTCTCTGATTCATGGTTGACTTGCCCTCCCCCAGCACACTTTTTCCGGCATTTGAGATTTACACTTATATTATAGAAGTAATTTAAATATTATAATAAAATTCGTACTAATATAATGAGATTTTAAAGTCCGAATCGATAAGTATCATTCTTAAATCATTTATGCAATTAAAAGGATAGCCTATTATAATTTGCTAATATTTTCATCATATAAGCATTTATCGGCCCTTATATTCAATCATAAATTAACAACAATTTTTTTTAATCTAAATTTTTATTATTTTTAATAGGACATAGCTCTCAAATGTATAAATAAGATTAAAAGTTCTTCCACCTCCTCTAAGCGTCGAAATGCTGAAAACGGCTACTTACCTTCTGACCAGCCGGAGACTTCGAAAAATGCCGATTTACAAACTGATATAAGTTTACTTCAAAATCATGAAACTCCTAAAAAAGATGACGTTGTAGTTGGAAATAATAAAAATAACAAAAAGAAAAAGATTTGGGTTTGTAGCCTTTGTCCTCACAAGGTTTACACCGCGTCTGCTAGTTTACTATCACATTATAGAAGTCACGCAGGTTTTTTTTGGCTTTTGTTGTATTTATATACCTTTATTACCTTATAACCATTTAACGATAAAACATGACTACTTCGTAATTTTGATTTGGGATCTGGGGGTTTTTATATTATTTAAAGCAGAGACACATCAATACCCAGAAACTTCGACCATGGGGAAGGGGGAGGGGGTTATGACACAAGAATTTGCTGATCGGCGAATGTTATATTTGAATATCATATATATTCAAAAGGTTACGTTATATATTTTAAAATGACGTTATTTGTATATTATATTATTATAACTTTCCGGCATGTAATATTTTATTATCGAGGTTAATCAAATTGCATATTATTAAAAGTTAAATTGGATAATTATATAAATGTATATATACAAAAGAATTACAAATAAAATTCATTATTGTTTTTAAACTTTCGATATAATAGCGAATATATACGAAAAATATAACCTAGCTTGGGTTATTAATGCATAAAACCAAAAATATCCTAATTTGAAAGGTAAATGAAAGCAGGCAGGGTAAAGTAATAAACTTGAAAGATAAATCAAATAATAAAATGGTACAAAGAGAAAAACCAATTGAGAATTACTTTAAAAATTTGATTAAAAGGTATAAAACCATATGAATGCAAGCAATGCGGAAGTAGATTTACACGCAGGCACAGCTTAGATTACCATGCTTTGATTCATAAAAACGCTTGCGTGTTCTCGTGTCCAACATGCCATAGAGGCTTTCGGCACCCATCCCACTTTAAAGAACATCTGAGAAAACATACCGGTAAGTTTTTCGCATTTTATATAGGAGATTTTCACTTTCCCATTTTTAAACCTTTTTTTTAAATATCAGGTGAAACTCCTTTCACTTGTGCGCAATGTGGTATGTCCTTTAAAACGCGAAATACATTTAAAAGACATCTCAAGGCTAGACATTATTTACTTCTTTCAGCTCAAGGAATACGCAATATGACCCCACAAGAAATTCTAGATATGGAAAATAAAACGCTTAAATAATAGAATCCTTTTTTTGTTTCTAATTTTGACCAGTAAACATTATTCACTATTTAGAATATTAAATAATATAAATAGGATGACGATATTTATTATTTAGTTAATAATTTCAAATGCCAACATATCTAATAATCTAGTTTTTATGAAATTGTTTATATGTTCAGACTATTAGATTCTTAATTTAATTGTAAACCTTTTTCGATTTATTTGCAATATAATACTGTATAAACCCGGCTGAATTTTTTTATCAACTACAACACTCCTTTTATAAAAATGAAATCAAACATCTTTCTATTTTATACTACTAATAGACCAGTTTGCCATTAAATTTTCTCTCATTGTAATTTTCGATTTTTATTCTTCTTCCTTTACTCAAACGTATTTGATATTGTTATTATACTATATAAATTATTAAATATTTTTTATATATCTCGAGTAATTATTAAAATTATTTAAAATGTGTAAAAAAATGATATTTTTTTATGTTCATTGAAACTTTGATTGGCAATATTTAATATTTTTTGACACTTTAAAAGATACATGATTGATTGAATGTTAATGTTTTTAAAAAATACAACTTTAATTTATTATACCCATCAGTATACATTTCCATTATTTATTTATTTTTTTTACAACAAAATATAATTACTACACGTATAATAAATAAATTGCAATTATTTTTATAGAAAATCAAAATTTCGTAAATTTTCTATGCGACATTTATTTAGCCTTAATACTTTGTTCGAAGTGTCTAAGAAACAAGCCATTCGAAACATTACAGAATTTATTGATATATGTTATATATTTATTACCATATGTAGCAGTGGCGGTCTAAACAAAAAGAGGCAAAATATAGATTCGTTAAAAGGTACCATTTAATGTAAGTCCAGGGAAATGTATAATACCCAAAAGGACGATTCATTCATATAAATGTTTATCTATGTCAATAAGCTATAAAAAATAAATTCAAGCTTCGTATATATATTATATATAAAATTTTCTAGAGACAACCAGTGTCTACATGAGCGGGAGGGGTAGGAACAGTTTGCATCTTATTTTTTGAGGGAGGTAGGCTGCTTTGATGGGGGTAAGGGACAGGTTGCTTTAATTGTGGTAAGATAAAATTTTTGGATGGTTATCTATTTAATTTTCAAATAAAACTTTCTGCTATCATTTCAGCAAGCTCATAATGCTATAATAATTAATTCATTGTAAATAATGGAGGTTTTAATTGAATTTATTATTTAAAAAATAAATTCTTTATATTCACAAAATATCGATAGTTGGTAATAGAGATAGATTAATTTAAGTTATCCTTTCTCTAAAAAGAGTATCAATAAATTTTAAAGGTAAAAATAATAATAGGGAGACACCGCCGCTGAAGGCGGTGAATATTTTTTAGGGGGGTAGTAAAAGGTTTTTAGGGGGTTTGCATCCAGTGAAAATCCTGTCATGTAGACGCTAAAGACAACCAAAATATCTTGACACCCGTTGATTAAAATTCAACTACGCTTCAAGATACATTTAAATGAATGAATCGTTATTCGTCAGTCTTTTACTATTATATATCATTGCATAAGCTTATAAATCCAATCAAAATTAACCATAAAAAGATATTCTCATTTGCGCGAAGCAGTGGCTTAGATAATGGGGGAGGGGGCTATAAATATTTTCTGGTATAGTAGAGCCGAGGATGGAGAAAAAATATGATCTGCATATTTGGAAAGATTTTTTTATGAAAAACAATTATAAATTTAATAATATAATATTTTTTTTTATTAAAATTGTCTTTTATTTTGAGTAATACAAAATAGATAACAATATATCAATATAAAATAAAATAAAACATTATTTTATAAAAACGGAGATGGGACTACAAGTTCCCAAAATCATGAATAGTTATATTTTAAAATAGTTATTTGTAGGTTTTGTTTTAAAAAATAGTATTCTTTTGGTTCTGATTTTATATTGTAATTAGATAGTTTTAAAAATTTTAATTTATTTTTTATAATTTTAAATTAAAAGAAAAATCGCATAATTTGTTAAAGATAAATAGCAAGCTTTTATTTTCTTTTGCCGGTTGAGTCTTTGTTGATTACACTTGAAACGAGATAGGATATTAAGAAAATCTTACAGTTTTACCCTTGATTTATCAGGATCGTATGATAAGTTACTTTGTGATGTCAAATTTTAAAAATCTTGACAGAATAGAGTACCATTTCTTTGAGGCCAAAAAATGTTTTGTAGGCCTTTCCATATGTAATTGTTCTTTAAATTACCTTATCAAAACATTGTTTTATTTATTTTGGTTACCTTACCGATTAGTACCTCACCAATGAAAGGTTTTTTCAACTTTGAAAAGGTTAAAAATCTATTTAAGAAATACAGAAGTTAAAACTGTTTATATGGATTAGCTCTATTAAATATTTATAAGAAGATTATTACAGATATTTGATTCTAGATAATGGCCAAATCTCAGAGAAAAGTAGACCTCTCTATAAATTCAAATAAAAAGGCAATATTATTAAAATATGTTCTAGTCATAAAATTTTTATATGCATAGCTTAATTATAATAAATTCTTAGTCATAATATTTATATATTTCTTATATTATACTATTTTTAATAAAAGCATTGCATTTGAAAATAAGAGTTATTTATATTTTGATATTATAATCATTTGTATTAATTATAATTTTTTCAAAGTACAGCTATTTACAATAAATTTTTGTTATATGCAAAAATTTAATTAAAATAATTTTTTTAACATAGAATAAGATATATTGAGAGATCAAAAATAGGAGGATTTTTTCATTTATGCTGGCTACTTAAGTGAGTAGGCACTAATAAAGCATAAAATATTAACAAATTTTAGAATTAGTATTTCCAATTGTTGCTAACTTTAACAAGATGATATAAAAATAACTACTGATAATTAATATAATATTTTTTAGAGACCCGGCCGAAGGAATAGGAAAGGGAATTCTTCCCCTCCCCATATGAATGAATCATGCTAATATATACATTTCGTCGATTATCATTCAATAATTTTTGTAAAATAATAAAAAGTATACTAGTATATGTTAATAATTTTACACATTCTATTGCAAAAACAAATAAATTTAACGAGTCCGTTCAAAGAAGATGTCTTTTTAGATTCTGCGATTTTACTAAAACACTTATAATATACATTCTTCAAAAGTATTAATTTAAATCTTCATTTTCCGTTCTGTAGACGGAGGAGGGGGGGGGGGATTTTATTACTTAAGGAATCTGCAACTCATGGAAATTTTCTTAGTGGGTGAAATATAGAGTTAAATAAATATGTAGGATTAAAGGTTAAAGAGTTATAGGTCAGGGTTAATTAAAGGTTTGAGAGATATGATTTAAGATATTAACAATCTTATTAAAAACATGTCAAAAATGCTAAAGGTCATGTGATTAAAAAAATAGTTTAGTTGAACTAGTGTCACGTGGTTTCCAGCTCATTTTTGCTAAGATAGCAGAAAGATTTGGATCTCTGCTTGCCAAATCTTGAAGATTATTTTGGCCAAAATCTTAATCCCCCGCCCCTAATTTTAAAATCATTATAAAAAGCTACAGTTGGAAGGTTAATGAAAATGTAATCAATGAGAATGGTGTTGGTTTATATAACATTATTCACTACATTTCTATAATTAAAATCTTTGGTTAGAATTTACTTAGTGCTATCTTAATATAATATAGAAAGTTGAATAATACAATGCTGTTACCAAAGAATACGATACGATAGTCATCTGTTTAATAAATTTGCGATTAATTTGTTACATTCAGACAGTTTATTGTTTGGTAAAATTTTAATGAAATATATATTTTTATAAATGTATGCTATATTTTTACTCGAGTTATTTATTTAAAAATAAAATATATTAAAAAATGACACATTATTATGATTATAACTTAAAATATTAATTAATATTATATATTTTTCAATATAAATCCTAAATTATCACATAATTTATAAGTTTCCATAGTGTAGTCGGTTATCACGTGTGCTTAACACGCACAAGGTCCCCAGTTCGAACCTGGGTGGAAACATAATTTTTTTACATTTTTTATTAAGATGGTTTTTTTTTCATAAAGATAAACTCAAATAACTAAACCAATATTATTTATATAAATACCTGGTCTAGATTTATTTTTTAACAATCTTATCCCTCGTTCTGGCATCACCAAACTTGCTATAAATTTTTTCCACGAATTGGGCAAATAATATAATTTCTGTTTTATATGTCTATTAGCCTTACCATAATTCACGGATGCCTCCGAATTTAACTATTTTAGGTAAGGGGGGGGGAGGGAATGGGGGGGGGGCTTTGAGAATGTGCTTTTTTAAATTAGCTAATAAAGTTTTCCCTTCTTATGTATACACTATAAAAAATAATTTAATAGTTAAATAAGCAAAAGTAAAATCATTTTTTAAAATATTGATGACAAATTTAAATTTTTTATGAAAAGCATTTTTTTTTTTAAAAATAAAAACTAGATTTATTCTTCAACAAATATAACATAACCAAAGTTCTGCCATAAGTAACCATAAAGACAAGACTCAAATAAAATTTATGGTGAAAACACCAACCTAATAGTTACCCCCCCCCCCCCCCACCCTCACCCCCATTGTCAAAGAATACTAAAATTGAAACAGTTTAAGAATGTATATACATTTTAATTTTATAATAACATAAAAGCATTTTATTCGTTTCTTATTTACCTTATAACTTTTGGTACCCGATTTGTTATATATGAAAACCCAAATTAGGTATGCATAATTTTTATAATTTCCAGAATATAATTTAAAAATTTAAACGGTTGGGTGAATTTATATGGCTAGATAGGGGGGAGGGCTTCTATACCCTCTGACCCTTCCCTTGAGAAATGGCGATATTTTTTAAATTGAATGTGGCTTTTGCGATAAAACAATTTTTTTATAAACAATTTAATGAAAGGTTGCTCGCGACTATTATTTTTAAAAAAAAAATTAATTTTTGTATGTTTTTGTTGTTTTGTTACCTGTTTTTTAGACTTTGGCAATAATTGTAGTTAAAGTTTCCATAGTTTAGTCGGTTATCACGTGTGCTTAACACGCAAGGTCCCCAGTTCGAACCTGGGTGGAAACATAATTTTTTATATAACGTATACAAATAATATAGTTTTTATTAAGATAGTTTTTTTTTCCATTAAGATAAACTCAATTAACTAAACCAATATTATTTATATAGATACTACTGGTTTAGATTTTTTTTTAACAGTTATATCCCTCATTCTGGCATCACAAAATTCGTTATAAATTTTTTCCACGAATTTGGCAAATATAATTTCTGTATTATATGTCTATTTTTCTTACCATAATTCACGGAAACCGCTGAAATTAAACTATTTTAGGTAGAGGGGAGTGGGGGGGGGGAATGGCGATGCCCTTGAAAGTGAATGTGGTTTTTGCTATAAAACAATATTTTTTAAAAACAATTTGATGAAGCTAGCGACTATTATTTCCAAAAAAAAATTTTGGTATGTTTTTGATATTTTGTTACCAGCTTTTTGGACTTTTGCAAAAATTTTCTCAATTAAGCAAAAATGAATACTTCTTATTATGATTCTAAATTTTTACAAAATAAATTCAGACACCTGATTTAAAAATAAACATTGGCTGCATGTATCATCTTTTATAAACCTGTTCAATTTTTGAGGGATAGGATAATGCTAAAAAAATTCCAATTAAAGTTGTTCGGAGAACATTTTTATCCATTCCTAACTCAATTGAAAATTTAAATGCTAATTTTTGTATCAAATTGAAAATTAATATGCGTAATTTTTTTTTAAATGAATAATAATACGTTAATTAATTACGTACTTGTGGCGATATTCTTTTATAATTTTCTTTCATTTAAAACGTTCTTTATTCATTTATCTTCAAAAATGAGGCAAGCTGATTTTTTTAATCGTTAAAATATTACCAAATCATAATACAAATAAAAATGGCATTTTTTTTAAAAAATACTTGATTGTTTAAATTTTAAATATGATTTCCTTCCTTTATCATCAACCTTTCTTTCTTTTTTTTAGAGCAAATTCTGTGATATTCCTCTTGATTTTTTTTATATATATTGTTTTCATATTTGTCAAACTGTCAAATATCAAGTCCATCCTCAAATTCTCGTTTTTCATTCATTTTGAACGATGCTTAATTCCACAATAAAAATTATTAGATTTTCATTTCAAATTCAATTTTATAAAGTTAGATTTTTTATTAAAAAAATCTAAACATTTTCTGGAAAAAAAAATTTCCGTTGCTTTTCATTTTTATTTAAAAAAATATACCTTTAATCTTATTAGGAAAAAACTTACTTCTGAGTATAAAATAAATCAGCTTATCTCGTAAAAAGAAAAGGATCTTAGAAAAAAATTCATTTTGGCGGACAGAATAACCTAAAAAAAAAAATTTATATTTATATTAAACCAAAATTATATTGTTTATTTTATTTGTTTTTTTAAATAAAAAAAACACATTATGATAATTCCTTATCACGCGTTTGTTCATATTCATTTTTTTCTCAATTTTACAGATTGTTTTTTCGCGTTCTTAATTTGGTGCATAAAGTTGGTGTTATCGATTGAAAGTTCTTCTATGGAAAAAATTATTCTGTGGGTACCTAATTTTTCTGAAGGACGTAATAAGCAGGTTTTATCTTGTGTTTTTTTTCTTCCTCTTTCTCTCAAATTTTTCAAAATTAGCTTATGAAATTTTTGTTTATAAAAATTTGTAATTTTTTTATTTTTATTTAGCATTTATTCTTTTTTCTTAAATTATCTTTCTTTTTTTCTTATTTTTTTATATTATTTGTAATAAAAAAACTTTAAATCAGTAGTGTCATTAGGAGAGCGCACAGGGACAGCTTGCTTGGAGAATTCCCTGACAAATTTTGAATTTGAAAATTTTATTTAGAATTGTATTTCCATTTTTAATGCTAATTTTTCCTGTTTTTCGCTCATTTAATTTTTTTTAGCATAATTAATTATCTTCCTTTTTTTGCTAATTATAAGCATAACAGTTGAAAAATCTTGGGATGCCTCTGCTTTAAATTTTATGAATAAATAAATGGAAGCATCAATTTTTTTATTTAATTGCTAATTTTAGGATTTCTTGTTTTTTGCTCATTTTATTTTGGAATACAAAGTCTACCTTCAGTTTTTGTTAATTTTTAAAATTCATTGAGGTTGAGAAAGCTTGCGAAGCTGCCTTAGAATTTAGTGAATAAATAAATAAATGAATGAACGAATAAATAAATGAACGAATAAATAAATGAACGAATAAATAAATGAACGAATAAATAAATGAACGAATAAATAAATGAACGAATAAATAAATGAACGAATAAATAAATGAACGAATAAATAAATGAACGAATAAATAAATGAACGAATCAAATAATTTATATTCGAAAATGTTTACATATTTTCAGGAAATTTTAACTAAAAAATATAATGTCATTTTATTTCCAAAACCATTATAAAGGTAATAGAACAAATTCAAAATGAAGCCTTAAAAATTCCAGGTTGTATATTGCTGGACTCCAATTCTGGATATTCCACACATAGAACAATTTTTACTTTTGCCGGAAGTCCAGTTGTCATATTAGAAGCGGCTCTGAGAGCTTCTAAATTAGCTTTCGAACTCATAGATATGTCCCAACACGTTGGTAATAAATAAACTAGTTATCTTTAAAAAATTTATCACTTAAATTGATCATCAAATAATTTTTGTGGGGTGAGCGCGGGGTTGAGTAACGTGAATGTTTGTATTTTGATTTACTGAATACAAATATTTTTTGCATTTATATTTGGTCATTCGAATAATAGAAGGGGGAGGGGTACTTTATTTTAGATATAAATTAAGGTATACGCTTAGTCAGGATTGTGAGGGAAGGGGGTGCATGAAATTTTTTAGATATGCTTATGACTTAGGGGCTACCTCCCATACTCTTTTTGGATTTTTATCAGTTCTTCGTCCGACTTATGGCACTTCGCCATTTATGAGATTAGAGAAAGCCTTACAATTAATTAAAATATACTTAGGAAATAACTTAACAATGGCTTAAAATTAGTTATATACAATTGATCGTAGTTACTTTTTCCGACAGGCTAATAATTAAAAAGCAAAACACCCTCCATTTGAATTTGGCTATTAAACAAAATACGTCGGAAATCAATTTACATATAAGAGATTTCTTCTATACTCATATAAATTCGAATTAATATAATTAAATTGTCAGGTGAGCATCCGAGAATAGGAGCTTTAGACGTTTCACCTTTCATTCCTGTCAAGGGGGTTACATTAGAGGAGTGCGTTGAATATAGCAAAACATTTGGACAAAGACTGGCTTCTACTTTGGATGTTCCTGGTTTAATATTTCTTTCTTCTCACCCTTTCTTTTTTTAAAATAAGTTTTTATTCCCATCTTTCCATTCTTTAACTCTTCTTTTCTTCTTAGCTTTTTCTTACACACTTTTTTTACTTCTCATAAAACCTTTTATATTTAAACAAATTAACCTTTTTTTTACCCCAAAAGTTTACCTATACGGTAGATCATCCGACAAGGAATACAGAAACAAAGTGCCACAAATCAGGGAAGGCGAATACGAGAGTTTGAAGGGAAAAGTTTATTTATTTGCTCAATTTTATCTATTTCTTTACATTTTTTAAAGTAAATTGATATCATTTTTTTACTGAAGTTCTGTTGCTAATTTTTATACAAAAATTTCCTATTTTAATAAGTAACAAATAATCCCGATTTAATAAATCATAACTGAGCATTTCCATTTTTTAAAAAAATACTTCTTTCCTTTACACCACTACATCTATGGTGAACCCATCCGCGACAGCAGATACAACTGATGGAGTTTTAGCAACACCTTCACATGGCCACATACCTGTCCCCTCGATCTTTTCTTAATCTTCACCTCTGAACATCATTTTCACCTTTTCTTTGTTCATTTTTAATCCCCTTTTTTCCATAACCCCTTCCATCTAATTATTTCATCCTTCAATTCTATTCTACTTTTAGCTATCAATACTAAGTCGTTGGCACAGTATTTCTCATGGTAGTACTTTACAAGTCCCTTTAGCTACTACATCCATTGCTATAATAAAAAGCAATTGACTCAAGACGGAACCCTGATGTAGCACTACCTTTACCTCGAAACTATTATTATCCCAATCATTTGTTTGGACCTCCGTTCCCTGCTTCGTCATTTCATTATCCTGCAGTTATTAGCCATTTTTCAACACATGATTTCTCAAGGCCCATTTTGTAACCTCACTCTGCACTCAATCCTTTCCCAGTTAAATGCATAATAAAGCGCTTCCCCTTTCTCTTGGTATCTTTCCTGCATTTGCCTCATAACAATAATAATCAGTAGAATTTTTCCTAGGCGTAAAACATAACTGCATATTATTCAATTTCATTTGGTCCTTTGTTCTCTTTTCTACCATTCTCTCTAAAACCTTCAGTGCATGTTCCAAATGTATAATAACTTTCAATCTAGAAGATTACCCTTCCTTTTGTATATAGATATTATCACATTTTTCCGGTAGTCGTCACTTTTCAGCAAGTCTTCCTGAGTAGTCTCTTCAAAAATAATCAGGTTGCATACATTGGTGAGCCATCACCCGTTACCCAAATCTTTCGATGCCTCAAATATTTGTCACCCCTCTTGTAGGGACCGCTGCTCTATTCTTATTCATACGCTTTATTTTCCAATTTATCTTGACTTCACTCGCACCTATGGCCAACGTTGTAACAAATTCATTTCTTGATATCTCCTTTAATTAAACCTTTAGCTCTTACTTTTTCTTATTCCTTTGACTATAAGATCACCTATTGCGGGTTACACTCCTCTCCAGGTATAACCTTCCCATATTTTACTATGCCTCGATCTCTTTTCCTCACGAACAAATAATCCACTGTACTTTTTACACCACCAGATACAATAGCGCCAAATTCTTTATATCTTTCAAGAAAGTATTAACCATTTTTATTGCATCGCCAAATTCTAATATTCTCTTTCCTTCCGAATTCCTCACACCAAAACTAAATCAGCCATGGGCTCCTTCATATCCCTCAATATTCGTTCCACATGACCATTTAGGTCTCCGCCTAGCATAATGACTCACTCTATGGGCAGTCATTAAGTTAGTTCTATTAAATTATCCCAGAAAATATCTTCCTCTTCTTCAGCTCTACCATTTTGAATGACATATGCAGAGATAACGTTAAATATTAGCTTACCAGCTATAACTTTTACAGCCAATATACGATTGTTCACTCTTTTCACATCCACTATTTTGTCTACCCACTTTTCCGCAAGAAGAACGGCAACCCCGGCGCTTTCATTATCGATACCTTGCCAAAAGAACTTAAACATTGCATTCGCCATATCAATCATTCTTGCACCTTCTCCTTTCCACCTTGTTTTTGTATGCACCTAACATCTACCCTCATGAATAATGTCTCAACCACTTAGCCCGCTCTTTTGTTATGCTCCCAGCATTCCATGTAGCAACCTTATATCGTCAATACCAAACCTTTTCCCCGACAAAGTCTCAGGCCGTTTATGACCGCCATATGTCTCCCTTTGATCGGGTTTCCCATCATTCTTTTTATAGCAGGTGTGTGCCCACGGGATACTTAGGGTTGTATCCCGTCAATATTTTGCAGTGCTCATAGTAGGTAGTGAAGCAAAATATTTTGACCAACTTTTTTCATTGGTTTCTACAACCCCGAGCAGACCATGTTTCTATTCTATCCTAGATCACCGGGAACCTTAAAACCTCCCTCCCCCGTCACGTGAGGCTAAAAATAGTATTTTGGGGAAGTTAAATGCTATTTTACCATACAAGACTTTAAAATTAAATGATTGTTTGTTATTAAAAAAAGTTATTGGTCACAGATTGGAAACCAGATTATGGACCGGCACGATTCGTACCCACTTGGGGTGCCAGTATAGTAGGTTGCAGAGACTTTTTAATTCCTTTCAATGTTAACGTATTGAGCACCAAAGAACAAGCTCACACTATCGCCATGAATATCAGGGAATCTGGCAGAGGAATAAATTTGGTATTTTAAACAATGATCAAATATTCTGTAAATTTTTAAATATCGAAGGAAAGGTGAAATGATAATTAAATAAAAAGAAACTAAATAGAAGCTAGAAATTTTGAGAGGGGATGGAGGAGGGGGGGGGGGTTATCCGATGAAAGATCTTTAATGAACCAAAATATAAATGAAGCCAGGAAAGTTGAAGCACGTTCAGGCCTTAGGTTGGATGCTAGAGGAAGACAATATGGCTCAAATATCAACCAACATATTAGATTTCCATTCCACCCCTATCTACCAGGTCTACGAAGAGGCCTTGAAAGATTCCAAAGTAATTTTGCCTAAAATTTTGTTAAATTTAATTATGTAATTATAAAGTTATCAAGAAAATTTGTAATGGATTTTTCTCTTTATTATTATAATTACTAAAATTTTGGAAACTAACATCTAATAGGAAGAGAGAGTTAGATTTCTTAGAGGATATACATTAAGAATGCTATTTAACGGGGACAGATCATCCTTTTTTAAAACTGTTAGGCAGACGCTAGGTCCCTTAAAGTTTCAAATATAGCATTCTTAAATGAGTTATTTTGAGACCAATAATTATTAATATTATATTTGCTTCTAATATACTATTACTATATTTACATATATTTATACATAAGGAAATGAAACTGGCTGTAATAGGATCTGAGATCATAGGAATTGTTCCTATCCAAGCTCTACTCGATTGTGCTAAATATTACATTGAAACTGAGGATTTGATGATCTTAGACGAGGAAAGCAAAATTAAGCTAGTATAACTTAAAAAATATATAAAAATTTGGATTTTAATATATTTGGAATTTGGTTTGATATATTTTTTTTTCAAGCGTAAACGACATCCCCCTTTCCTCTCCATACTTTTGAAAATAGTGCGCTACCGCTAACGCTATTTGGCAAAAAAAGTAGCAGGCTATCTCTCCCACTATTTTTTTAAAATATAAGGCGATGTTAGTTACTTTTACACTATTTTATATTTAAAAAAAATTAATATATATCCCTAATCTATGTCCTCAAAATTAATATTTCAAATTCAAACATTTACAAATATTAAATATTGGCATAAAAATATGACTAAAAATCTAAAATATGTGTATTCTTTATTTTTATTAGGTTTTCATAATAAAATAAGCTATTATATTATCTCCAAGTCTGGAGTGGGAATAAGAAAAACCCTTACTCTCAACCCTTCCCTCTCAAAAATATAACTTAACAATCCAAAACAATCCTTTCCTAATAATTAAATAAATATCAACAATAAACATTACCAATTAGGACAATTTTACAAATCCAATTTATTCGTATAAATATATAAATCCAATTTATTCAATGCAAATATGATCAATCCCCATGCAAAACAAATATACATATCTAAAAATATGATCAATCCCGTCTTCATCCAATATAATGTCTTCTTCACTCCAAACAGCACACCAAGAAACTTTTATCTTATCTTATATTATCTTGCAAGTTGGTCATACCTGCCCAAAATGAGCGAACGTCAAATATATGAAGGCCTATCCTTCATATAATTTAGCCGATTTTTTTCTCAGGTTACCGACAAACCTATTACCCAGAAAATAATTTATGAGTGAAACTAAACCCTCTGCCAATAAAGTAGCAAATTTAAAATTAGCAGGAAGTAGAAATAAAAATAAGTTATAATGAGAAGTAGAATAAAAATAGAAAGTCATTTTAAAAAAAAGAAATCTTTCATATACAATGGTCTAAAATATTAATTTAAGTTAAATATTTCAATTAGGGACATTAAAGGGGCCATTATCGATTTACTAAATAACCAAATGCAACTCCATATCTTTAAGAATTAACTTATATCCTGTATAATATAGTTTAATTTAATCACCAATAATTAAAAAACAATTTAATCACTTTAAAATAGAGGTTTGAACTCTAAGTTATTAGTTCCAATAATGATATAGATTTCTTTGGGAAACTCCTTAGCAAGAAATATAAGTCCTCAGCATGTATTCGTCATATGTTCATATATAAGTCTCAAAATATGGTTGCTTTCCTGTCAATCGAAGCTCTCTTTAAGAAATCCCAAGATAAATATAATTTAGTCAAGGACCTTAAAATTCTCCCAAACCAACTGCCTTTATGGAATAAAAAAGGTTTAAAAGCAATGTCTTCTGAGGATTGATCTATAAGTGCCTGATGTTAAATTGTTCGAGGGGTGTCTTAAAATATGGCCCACCAACTCAATTTTCCTATATTCTATTGTTTTATGAATAGGAAGGATATCGCAACTCGCCCATAACTTATAATTAGTAGTGTTTCGCGGATAAAAGGTCCTAGTTAAATATCTTAAACCTTTGTTTATAAAAACTTGCATCTTGTTATTACCAGATATATTATCGTTCCACATTTCCATACCATAGTATAAGGAAGCTAATATTAAGACTTTAAAGAGTCTTATCTTTAAAGGAATAGATATTTGCCTAGATGACCTAATCTTAATCAAGGACCTGTACTTTACCCTAGTTTTATTCAATTTAAAGTGTTGATCTTTCTTTGTACCACCTTTCTTATCCAATAAGACCCCTAAATATTTTAGAATATCTACTTCTGTAATCGTATTACTATCAATATTTAGGGTCACCTGTGAAGAAGTATAAATTGATGTCATCTTCGTCTTTTCTTTATTTAATATCAGACCAAAGTGTCCCGCCTCTACAATGATACAGTTAATAACTGATTGGATGTCTGACACCGATTTACCTACAAGGCATAAATCATATGCGAAAGCGATAATATTTAAATTTCCTGAGGACCACTGAGCCGAATGTAAATTTCTAATTATTAAAATAATATAATTTGTAATAAATTTAATAAGAGAGGCGATAGAACACAACCTTGTTTCAAACCTTTTATTATCGGGATTTTAGAAGATTTGCGGCCAGAATGAATAATATGCATTGAATAATCTTTATAAATTAGTTCCAATAAACTTACCAAAACAATCGGGGTACCTACCTCTTCTAATGTCCTCCAAAGTTTTGTGAGTATTATCGAATCAAAAGCTTTTTTAAAATCCAAAGCCACAATAATTAACTGACTTATCCGAATTAACGCTCTCTCTAGTTGAATTTTTACTGATAGAATCGCCTCTAAAGTGTTTCGACCTTTCCTAAACGAGACCAATGAGTCTATAAAAAGTGGTTCAAGTAGCGGTCTTAGCCTTTTTAATATAATATTTGCAAATATTTTATACCACCGAATTTAGTGATATTCCTCTCCAATCTTCAAGAAATTTGGGATCTTTCGTTTTAGGGAAGTTAATTAAAGTGGCAGTGATCCAATCATTCGGACACACCCGTTCAAACCATACTCTGGATATAATAGGAAGAAGATTCTCTGCACATAGTCTTGAGTCAGTCTTCAGGTATTCACTATATAATAAATCTTGACAACAAGCTTTATGATTCTTCCGTTTCTTAATTATTCCAACTAGTTCAGCTTTAGTTGGGTGAAAATTCCTGGCATCATTTGAGGGGGATTGAAACGTAAATGAACTTTGTTGAAAATTTCTGGGGCTTATTTGTGGAAACTGACTATTCAAGGTATCGTTAATGATTTGAGCCATTGATAATCTTTGTAGAACATTACTTAAACTAGCTTGTGGGGACCAAATTTTCGAAGTAGAGGGGTGTTGATCTCTCAATGTATCAATAAAAGTTTGGACTATAGATGAACTTTGTTGGGCATTAGTTAAGCTAGCTTGTGGAGGCCAAATTTTTGATGTAGTAGGGTGTTGTTCAGTTAAGTAGGAATAAATAGGAGAAATAATTATAACCTTCGAATTAATTGTATTTTGATCAACTGAGCGAGCGTATCTTTAAAATTGTAAATCAGGTGAATTAGAATAAAATTTAGGTTGAATAAAGTCATCATGATTACCGGAATGAGTATTTTGATCAACTGAGCGAGCGTATCTTGAAAATTGTAAATCAGGTAAGTTTGAATAAAGTTTAGATTGAATAGTGTTATCATGATTACCGGAATGAGTAGTGTCGTAGCTAGGGAAAAAATTAGCAATATCACTTAGGCTTGTTGGTGGGGGCCAAACTTTCGAAGTAGAAGGAAGTTGATCAAGTAAGTGATGTATGTTAAGATAATGTTTAGATTGAATAATGTCATCATGATTATCGGAATAAGTATTATCATAACTAGGTGAAGTGTTTTATTAAATAAGTAAAATAAGTAAAGTAAGTAAAAGTATATTTAATACAAAATATCGCGTATATATATATAATGAATTCAATCCTTCAGGTTATGTAATTTACAAACGAAAAGTTAATATTATATTCAATTTAAATTCAATTTACAATTACATTTATATTACAGTTCTCCCCACTATAAATTGAATTCATCGTGATAACGTAGTGGGGGTTTCGAAACTCTTTTTTCAAGAGTTGTATTCTCATGTTCTGCCTTTTCCACTTCTTCGGTCAACGTAACGGGTATTTCCTTCTCTTGTGTATGTACATCCCTCAATTGATCTGCATGCTTGTTTTTAACGATCCCCTCTGATTCCACATCGTACAATATTGCGCTTTTTCGTTGTATTCCTTCATGCCACCCTGCTGTCCTTTCGTTTGCTATCCAAACTTTTTGCTGCTCTTCAAACTCCCGAGGTTCAACACTTCTATCTTTGTAGTACTTTTGTTTCCATAGAGCGTTTTCCGTCCTTTCTCTCGTTGATAATTTCCACTGATCTAATGTCGTCCTAAGCGACCTTCCAAACATCATTTCGGCAGGGGATTTACCAGTAGTTGCATTGGGAGTATTACGGTGAGTAATTAAAACATTCGCTAAATTTAACTGGTCCGGAGTCCCACATCTCCTTCCAGCATAGAAACGCGTCTTTATCGTCATCGTTCAGCCAAACCATTCGATTTGGGGCTATAAGGGGCCGATCTTTTATATTGTTTTTAAAAAGAACGTTTTGAATTCAGATCCAGTAAACTGAGTACCGTTATCTGAGACAATGTAGCGAGGTAACCCAAATCTAGCGAAATAATTACGCAGATTATTTATTACACTCGCCGAATTAATATGTGTTAAAATTGCAACTTCAACCCATTTGGTAAAAGCGTCTACGCAAATTAACCAATATTTTCCAAATACGGGGCCTGTCAAATCAATGTGTAATCGTTCCCAAGGTCGGGTAGGAATGTTCCAATTGTATAATGGCACTTCTTTAGCTCCCGGCCTTCCTTCTTGACAACTCTTACAACATTTAACAAAGTCTTCAACATCAGTATCGAGATTTGTCCAAAACACGTAATATCTACACAATGATTTCATCCCCACTATCCCAGGATGTCCTCGATGAATCACATATAAAACCTCCTTTTTTAAAATATCTGGAATAATAATTCTATCATTATAAAATAATAATCCTTCTTCGAACGAAATATTATTTTTAATCGAAATATATTTTTTTACAATCTCAGAATCATTATTTATATTATCAATATACCAATGATTTTTTATTAATTTAATAATCTCTTTTAGGTTTATATCATTGCTCGTTTCACTTACGACTTTACTGCGAGTGAAAGATAAATCTTCTATTAAATTAATTTTTAATCCTCTGATTTCTTCTTCGAATTTTTTTGTAACATCATTGGTTTTTGCTTTCTCTACCCCCAAACAGGACAGAGCATCGGCACATTTGTTATGATTACCTGGTCTATATATTATCTCATAATCATAACTTAATAGTTTCGTC